AATTTATGAAGGTCATTATGAAGCCAGATTTAAAGCTAGGAAGTCAGTGTAGTTAGGTAAATCGGGTCTAATTTCGAGTAAGATCCAAAATGGAGGCCATGTTGAGAATGAATTCTGGGAAAAGCAGAACAACTCTTGGAATGTTAATGTCCCCAAGGCCCAGAGCCCATCCCAAAGACGTGTTAATGACACAGCTCCCAGCAAACTTGAAGATGCTGACTCAAATTCCTTCCTGCCCGTGTTACTCCTTTGGCCCACCTGTGCCCCACCCTTAACAGAACAAAGGACAGGAATGTGGCAGGAAGGGGAGGGGGAACCAGATAAAAAGGGAAAACAACCACACTTCCACGGATTCCATCTCTTGGGTCCCCTTCTTCCTAGGGAGAAGTCTTTTCTGCTGTCCTTTAATAAAGCCTCTACTTTCCACTCTGACTTTGCTTCTCTGGTGTTATTCTTCAACATTGGGGAAGCAAGGACTTGTCACCAGGTCAACAGTGGTAACAATTAGAGTCTCAGAAATGGTCGTTATCTGGCCAGGGAAGGCCAAAATTGATGAGGCATCACTAAAGTTTCAGAGAGGGCTGCTATCTGGTCAGAGAGCCAGGCATGGGTGAGTTCAAGGCACGAGCAGGCATTCCAAGCAAGTTCAGAATTTGCAGTAATTTATAGTAAGACCAAAATTATCTTTTCATGGCTTTGTGGCGAGATGGCTCCTAATTTTAAGAGAAAATCAGGCTGGGTCTATCACTGCTTACATCAGTCTTGGACTCTGGTCTTTTGGGAGTCCCAAATTCGAGCATAACAAGATAAAACATCACAACAACACCAGCAAAGGTTCTGTTAGTACCCATGCTACAGTTTTTATCAGGTTCTGGAAATAGAAAACTAGCAGACATGAGTGGGTAAGTAAGGAGTTCATTAACTGTCGCTTACTAGAGGAGAAGAAACTCTGGGGAAAGTTAAAGTAAGGGTCCCATGTAGGAGACCCTCACCCTCCTGCATTTGGGGTTGAGAGTTTAATCTCCTTGATGTTGATGTTGCATTTCAAAGGGATTGAATCTAGTTCTGAGTGGCTGAAGATTCCAATTTCTAAGAGGCAAAGAAAGGGATTATAAATGCAGCTTTCTACAGCAATTGTCTAAGAGAGGGCTCAAGGACACTTCTGCAGGGTGTGTGTGCCTGTGCAGGGTGTGGGCTAGAAGAGCATCCAAGAGCTTTCTCATTGCTGGCACTTTAAAGTGGGACCACCCCTGGGATGTGGCCTTGAACTGATAGAAGCCATGGTAGAGCTTGGTCAAGGTGAGTCTCTGCCAACGTCCATGTAGAAAAACATGGATTTTTTACTATCTTGTAATTCCCAAGGATTTAGGAGGCACTAATCTGGGGACAATGAGTGAGGCAGAAGCCACATTTTAAATGTCATAGTGAATGCATGGTAAGTATAAGCAGCCACGTTAGATAAAAGTGAACCAAAACAATATAAGAAGGCTAAAAGTACAGAGCTAGGTAGACAGAATTTGTGTGTGTGTGTGTGTGTGTGTGTTGCTGGTGATTGAACCCAGGGCTCTGTGCATGTGAGGTAAACACTCTACCCACTGGAACACTTGGAACACCTGGTAGATGATGAGATGATGATGATGATGATGATGATGATGATTTTAATTCTGGCTGACAACAAGGTACCATTCCGGACTCCCCTGACTGATGGAAAACTCATTCCTTGTAAGACTTATGTCTTCTACTATTTTATTTCTCTAGAATCTGACAAATACTGTACAGGGTGGGTATAATGAAGCCCTTTACTCATGATGGCCTGATGCTGTATCTTGCTTTTATTGAGGACTCTGCTGTCCATTGTGGGTAAGTTACGGAGGGCCCCACAGGTGTCATATGGTGGGGTTCCCAGCTGTTTGAGAAAAGGAGCGTAGCAAGCGTGAAGCCACTAGGTGGGTATAAATAGGGAGTGCCATCCTTCCTGATCACAGCTCTCTGCCTCACCTTAATGATTTGGGTCAGGCCACAGAGGGGAATTTAGTCAATGTTTTTGTAGAGGAGAGCAGATGACAGAAGAAGGTTTTCTTAGAAACCTGGAGGAAACATGGCCAGCATAGATCCTGATCCTTCCCCAGCCTGTCCTAGAGGAGAGGGTGACTGTGAAATTGCTCTAAAATCTAGGATACTATTCATGAAATAAAATTCTATATCTTTTTAACCAGTGTGCAAAATATGCCTCCAGGTACTTGACATCTCCCCTGATTTGTTTCAAGAACCAGCTTCCCGAGGCGCACTGAACAGCATGTCTTTTGCAGTATGACTTAAATATTAATGAAGTCCCACCCCATTGTGATACTTGCACGGTGGAGATAATGAAATAGCTGTGGAACATTCCATATATAAAGATGCACCATTTCTACTATAGGTGTTCAGGCCCAAGTTTTTTTCCCCTCAATTTTAATCTTCTTCAAAGCCAAAGAGGGTATGAGTAAGTCTCAGAGCATGTCATTTTCTTTTTCTTAGCTCCTCTGTCTTTGGATTTTATACACTAGGAAAGAAAGGCGTAGCCTTCACTGTTGAGAAGTCTCTTTTCTTTTAGAAACCACATTTCTTTGATAGTTCCATTTTTAAAACCTATGTTTACTGCAAATAGATTTGGAAAAGACAGAAAATACAAACAGCCATAATCTCTCCCTACTACTCTCAACCACCCCACCCCAAATAACCGCTTGCAACATTTTGATGGGTTTCCTTCCTGTCTTTGTTTGATTTGCTTCTATCATTCGACCTAGTTCACAGTGGAGAGAGAGAGAGCCCGCTCCTTAAGGTTTTGCTGTGCACCTCAATGGGTTTAACCCATTAACAAGAAAATAATCATGTTTCACACTTGTTTAACTTTTTAAATTTATCAGAGCTCACTGACATCCACCATCTCATTTGGTCATCATGCCAAACAGACCATTTATCAGGAAACCAAGGTCAGTGAGAAAAGATGGGATCTTCTCCCACCCCATGTGGCCCAGAAGGGTCCAATTTGACCCAGGATTTGAGATCCATAGACTCCTTATCTAGAGATTTCCACCTACAGTAATTTTTATTTTTCTCTCCAATTAAAGTCTATATATCTGAGCACAGAAATTCTGTTTGAGAGTGAGGACTTGCACTTCCTGTGGTTTATTTTTGCTCCATAGAGTGCATTTGTGTTGAGTGTGCCTTCTGAGCCCCCAGCCTGGGAACTTTGCCCCATCACATGCACAAAGCCGTTTGCTCCCCAGACACCCGTTTCCTCTGTCACTAGAACAGTGGGGCTGGGTCCCTAGCAACAGGCATCTGGGGCACCCAGTTGCCTCTTCGGATCATCTGCCAGCACAAGAAACTTGCTGCCCACCATCTGCCTAAGTACCTGCTTCAGCCACCTCGTACGTATCCATTGCTGCACTGTAGCTAAGGCAGCGAGGTTCTGCCGGATGCTTGGACCACAGAGAGCTTTTCATCGAAGGGGTGTTTTGACCACCTGGCTGTGCTCACCTTCCTCTCTGGGCCTGGCTAGATTGCTTTGCTCTGAAAAGAAGCCCCATATTTACCAGGACTTTTAATTTGTTAATTAAAAAAAATATTCCTGTTTTCAGCCTCTTTACCTATAACCCTTTCCCCTCCCCATTCTCACACTTTCTGAAAGCCTCTAAGATTAGGCAGACTTAATAATTAGATGAAATTCAGGACTTCGTGGAAAGGATTTTAGAGAATGAGATTGAGGGTGGCTACAAGGGCTTTTTTAGACAAAGGAAGAAAGGGAGAAAAGGAGACATGGGAGAGATCACTGGAAACTCAGGAATTTCTGAGCTGGACTTTTCAACAAAAAGCTCCACTATTCAATGAATGATGGAGCTGTGAAATTTAACAGCTGATTATTGATTTTTGGAATATGTCACCCCAACACTTTGAAGCTCACACTTCTTCAGCTAGAAATGCTTGACAGCTTTATTTTCAAATACCAAAGACTATTTTTAAAATCAAAATGACTTTTCACATAGAATTCTTATAATTTTTTTCTGAAAAAAAAAACAAAACAACACATTGTGGTCCATCTCTTCCTTGCACAGCCATAGCCGGTCAATTACCTGGATCCCCACTCTGTCCCCGTGGCCAGTCCTTGGCAGTTCTGACCTGGGACTATATTATATCATTTCTGTCAAGGTTCTTATACCACTTACTTCTGGATTTTTGTTCTGTTTTCATCAATTTGAGACCCAGTGGAGAACTTACACACCAGTGAGAAAAACAACAAGATACCTGCTGTTGAAGGATTAATGGGTGAACCAGTCCAGGTGGCCCAAATGGTTGCTTCTCTTTTCTCTTTGCCCAGGCTTAGATCACCTCACACAAGTGGGGTATCTGCCACCCCTCGGCGACTGTCATTGAATCTTTATCCAGCCTCCCTCTCTGAACCTCACCTGGACTACTCTTCAGAAAAGCATGGTTGAAGCCACATTTGGATGCTGTGGTGAGCCAGCTAGTCAACCCACCTTAACCCGTCACAGACAGTGGTCCCCTGAGCACCGCCAGATATTTAGACAAGAGCCAAGCCACCAAACCACCCTTTCTGCTCCAAAGTAGCTGATATTTTTTTTGGTGAACTTGGTATTTTGTTCTATTTGGTCAAAATTGAAATCCATGCTTTCCAATTAGCTTTCTGTTTATCATCCCTAGAGAACTCATCTCATAATATATGTGAAAGATTAAAAATTTCATCTTATCTTTTGGTGCCAACTAGTTTCAAATTTCGCTTCCCTTAACTGATGGACTCACGCCTGTTCTTTGGTTTCAGATCTATCTGCTGCTCTCCCAGTGGGAACAGTCCTCCTCCATAAGCGGAAGAAAACCCAGGATCCTTGGGTTCCCATGAAGCTGTTCACATAGCCCCTGCTTATCTACCAAATTTAAGTTTATCAAAGCACACTGACATCCATCGTCTCATTTGGTGAGATGAATTGGTGGTGTCCTACCTGAGCTCATTTTCAACCCTGAACCCCTTCCTGCGGGCCAGCTCCATGAAGAAGGCTCTGCGGGTGGTACCCATTTTCTTCTCCAAAATGAAGAGGACCAAATCTCGAAATCTGATGTCATGAGGAGTGGAGGTCACGGAGGCCCCAGTCTGCCTGGGTCTCTTCTTCCGGGGACCCAAGTGGGCGGTTGGCAGTGGATCCATGGGGAGAGACTGTTGTGCCCCTGGCTATGATGTCTCCAGAGTGATACCTCCAGAAGTGAGGGGGAAGAAGCCCTCCTGCATGAGGGCTCTGATGTCATCGCACTGGCAGATTCTGCAGGAGGGCAAGGCTTTGTGGGCACTGCCCCGGTAACAGCTTCCTGCTGAAGGAATTTCTATCTCTGTTCAGTTTCTTCATCTTAACTCTTGTTTCCTTATGCATAATCTCATTAGCTCCTCAGAATAGAAAAACCATGGGAAGAAGGCAGGGAAGCACCCTTGTTGGCATATTACTTACTCATATCTGAATGGGTTGGGGGCCTTCTGTTGTCTTCATTTATTGATCGTTTGAATTCCCAACTCACTTGCTTTCTCTTCTTCTCAAAAACAGTCATTACGGCAGTCTGCATGTGTGTTACATGTTGCATGTGCTTGCTTTGATTTTTACATAAAGGACATGGCTACATTTCTTACTCTGCTTGTCACCCAGAACTTCTTTTCAGATATGTGTTCTACTCTGCTGCTTCTGCTTGCTCCACAGTACTTTGTGGTGGGCATCGACCACATGTTCACTTATGTGGGTGCATTTTATAAGCAAGGAAACCAAGGCTCAGATAAATACAAGATCACAGAATAAGGGGCTAAACAAGGTCATGAATTCAGTTCTTCTGACTTCAAGTACAGTTTTTGCAATGGACTGAGGTTGTCCAGAGAGTAGTCTATTATAAAACTCTAAAATAGTTATATAATCTATCTTTTGAAATAAGCTGTGACTTCAGCTAATAATCACTTTCACCAAGAATCACTGCCATAAAAAGACATTTTCATTACTTTCTAGGCAAAATGAAGTTTGTGACTTTCATCCATACACTTGATCTCATTTCCTGAGCACCTACTATATGGATAAGCACCTACCACATTTTGCTGACTAAATCCTTACAGAGCTACTGTCATGTAGGTATGGCCATCCTAATTTGTTTTTTGATGAAGACTACAGAGTTCATAAATGGTGACAACTAAGAAATAATTGAGCCAGGATAATTAAGATTATCTAATGAAGAAAATACATTCTTTACTACCAGGAAGCCTTCCTGCACACAGGTCTACCCCGGTAACAAACCAGAGCTCTGCCCACCTTCCCTGCCATAGTACTTAGGACTTTGACTACCTCCAAAAGCACTTGAACACCTCACCATGACACCAGGGAAGGAATGATGGAGCCACCTTCATGCATCTGCAAAGCTCTCCTTGTTGCTCAAGAAAGCAAACTTGGGAATATTCAGCTGGAGGTTGTAGAGTGATAGATTTCAGCTCTGCAAATAAGAAGTTTTTAATAACTACAGCTGTCAAAAATCTAGGGAGCTGCTGTGTATGTGGTATGTTAGAGAAGTGTTCAAGCAGATGCTGGACAACTCTTTATTGAAATATTACAGAAGGAATCTGTAAGGGTCTGGAAGGCTCTTTAATGCAGCTCTGAGATTCCAGAATACTAGGATTGTTTGCTCAAGATCAACATTTGGAGAAGAAGCCATTTGGAGCCCAGTTTGCTAGGTGTTTGGTTACTGAGGTGAAGAAGGTTTTATGTCAGAAGCAGTCCTAGCTACCAGGTGGTCTCACAGCATGGAGAAAGCAAAGTAGTCTAGCCAGAGTCTAGGGTGGTTGTGTTCATTCCCAGGGTGTAGCCACGGACTGGTAAAGGTGTGCCACCCAAACAGTATAGGGACGGGGCAATAGTAGAGAGTTGTAGATAGGAGTTCAGGCAATGACGTCAGACTGGCCATAAAAATTCCACTTCCACTATTTGGAAGCTATGACCTTGAGCAGGTTACTTCTTTAAGTCTCAAATTTCTCTAGCTGTAAAAGGAGGGCTGAAATAGCCATCTAACCTGCTAGGCAGAGTGTTTGACACAGAGGAAGCATTTTAAATACATGTCACCAGCAATTTGTGTTTTGTTTTTAAAGCTGTGTCCTAGTTCAATCTGAAATCTGATCTATATGTTTTATAAAACTATTGAATCATCAAAATAATATCACATTAACCAATGTCATATGTCATGATTCATGTTTTGAATCACTTATATTGAAAAGATTACCAACAATATTTATTTATTTATTGTTACCAGGGATTGAACCCAGAGGCACTTAACCACTGAGCCACATTCCCAGCCGTGGTTTTTTTTTTTTTTTAATATTGTATTTAGAGATGGGATCTAGCTGAGTTGCTGGGACCTCACTAAGTTGCTGAGGCTGGTTTTGAACTCATGATACTCCTGTCTTGGCCTCCTGAGCTACCAACAAAACTTTTAAATGTGATGATGACTGTGTGGTTTCTCTGACAGGTTCCACCAGGTTGGAGCCAGAACTGGGTAGATCCTATTTCTCTTTTGTCAGCTGAGTGCATTAGGCTCGGCCAATAGAGGGCACTGGAGGGAGGCTGCAAGTGGGGAGAGCTGGAGAAGGAATTGGTGCTTGTGTTTGTTTGTTGCTGCTCTCAGGGTCTTCTAGGAACAGCTCTTCTGGCCTAGGAATTGGTAAAAGCCTCCGAATCTGGCACAACCAGATCCAGCTTCTTTACAGCCTTCCAAGGTACCAACACCAGCCTGCCAACATCTCTTTCTCATGATGGAAGGCTCAGCTCAGCAGGGATTTGCCTGTTAATGTGGATGATGCCCACAGCAGCAGGCAGCATCCCCTTTTCAGAAGTCTGTGATTCAGCTCCACGGGGACCCTGCTCCAAACTGCCAGTTTTCAACAACCCCAGCCACATCCCTTTGTTATCCCAACCCTAGGAATGGGACATGCTTCCTGAAGTCACTCTTTTTGAGTATCCTCTTTTTGCTTCTTTTCAGCCTTCAGAGGCCCAAATCTAGTTCTCTCTGTTGGAATCCCATGCTATGCTTTTCATTTTCCTAACTGGACCTGGACTGATATAATGTCCAATGGAAGTGAGAGTGTAAAATATGGGGACTCCCTTATGCTGTTGGAGGCACACTCTTTCTAAAGAGAAATCTGACCTCAGTGTGAAAAAATCTTTAAGATGTCCAAATTGAGGGCATCCTGACATTTCCTTTTTTTTTTTTTTTTTAGGAGACAGACACATAAAAATTTTTGTCCCTAGATATTTGCCACATTACCTGTACAAAGAAGACTTAGAAACAGCATGAGCATCTAGTAGTAGGAGATTGATAGACTTGGTGGAGCAGTATGCAGCCACCTAAATCATCCAACTGAGACTATTAAACAACATGGGTAAATGCTCATAATATAATATTTGTACAATCAGCCTACATAGTGATAACTGTATGATACTGACTTTCACAAAGAAGACTAGAGAGACACACGCAAGACGAACATTAAAATAGTGGATTTCATACATTGTTGTGTTTATTCATCATTTTTTTTGTCTGCATGCTTTTCAGTGTTTTACAAATTTTCTACAATAAACACGAATCATGCTTGTAATCACAAAGCAATTTAGTTAAAAAAAAAAAAAGATTTCCATGAGTTTACACCATGTGGCCTTAGTGAAGAGTTATGATTCAAAGGAAGTCAGGTTGTCCCAAGTATGCTAAAGTGTAGTTGACCGTGTTTCCTGGTCCCCTAGCCTATGAGGCTGAAGGACAAATACCCTTGTATTCCATGTGACAGGCACGTCTTCCGGGCCATTGGCCACTGAAACAGGACACCACTGCTGGAGAAAACAGGGGATTTCTTTCCACCTGCCTTTGATAATTTACTGAAACTGGCTCTCTGAGGATGGAGTTTGTGCCTTCTGATTCCATTTTTCCTCCTCAGAGGGTTCTTTCCAATGACATCAAGTGACCCATGCTAGGATCACATTTAGGACAGTGGAAGCCATTGTGCTCTGGTTTGTCCCTTCCAAAACACATTAAAATTTGGTTGCCATTGTGGTGGCATTGGGTGGCTTCCTTTAAGAGGATGAATGCCTTCCTCGTGGGAGTGAGTACTCACTGTTATGGGATGGATCAGTTGACCCAGGAGTGGAGCCATCCTCCATGTTTGTTCCTTCCACACAGATCCACGTGCCCTTTTGCTTTCCACCGTGGGTTGAGGCAGCACAAGCTCCATGCTTTTGAATTTCCCAACCTTCAGAACTGGGAATCCAAGTAAACTTCTTTTCTTATAAATGACCCAGTCTTGGGTATTTTGTTCTAGAAACAGAAAATGGACTAACAAGTGGTCATGGCTCCATGAAGGGAGTTGTGAAATCCCTCAGCACCACCTTAAAATTAGGTCTGAGGACACCAAAGTCTCTTGTTAATTTCAGGGATTATATTATATCATGCTATTGAAGTGCCTTGAAAATTAGGAAACACGGTACCAAGGTCAGTTGTTCTTATTATCCTCATTGGCTTTGCTGCCAATGGCGGAATTAATTCCATCTTACTATACCATGATTTTCTGGAGATACTTGCATCAAATGTGGAACACCTCCTCACTCCAGCAGATTGCTCAATAATTCCCAAGCACCTGGCGTCAGCCTAACATCTCCAAAGTTTTTTTTCCTTTCATGCTACTTATTGATGGAGGGCTCAGCTCCATTGGAGACTCAGCTGATGGAGGCTTTATGCGTTTGGGTCTGCAGCATCTGGGCTATGAAGCCACCTCAACCACTGCAGCAGAGAAGACAGCACTGGGGATCTTGCATCAAGAGTAAATGCTTTGCCCTGGAAATGATATACATTACTGATGCTCATAGACCATTAGCCAAAAATAGTCATCCAGCCCCTCCTAACAGCAGCAAGCATGGGAAATGCAGGGAAAAATGGGATTAGGGGGAGCATTCCTGTTCCTACCATGCCCAGCATCAAGCTTAGAACTGGCTGATGGCTGTGGAGACTCCCAGCCAAGGGGCTGTCACTACATGGGTGCTAAGTCTAGGGCAGAAAGTAAGGAGGTCCCAGCACCCTGAACTTCCTGCAGAAGCAGCTCGAAGAGGACCACACTGTGCTGTTCCCAGAATTCCAATTTGTTGGTGAGGTCCTGGGCAAAGATGATCTGTTCTTCCTGAAATACTTGCAGACTGACTGCTCCTCCTCTCAAACATCTGGAAGGGAAAGTCCTGCATTGAGTGTCAAAGGGCTATGCTAAGTTTGGGTCAGGTGCCCTTCCTGCTTGCCCACAGCAGCACATGCCATCCTGTGTTATAACTGGACTGTAAATCTGCTGTATTCACAGCTGAATCCTTGGTACCTAGCATAGTACCTGGTGAGATAGGCACTTGTAAATGTTTGCAGAACAAATTAGAATTCACACGTAAGTTGCCATTATTAAGCTTTTACACCGTTTGTGCAGCAAATATATGAATCTTCTCTCCTAACTGCCTTTCTCCACCCTACGCATTCCCACCTGAATATGGCTTCAATACAGGCAAGTAGAAAACAGGAATTAAGGAGCCAGTCTATTTGAACTGAACATTCAGACATGAGCTGTGTGACCTTAGTTGCAAACCTTTCTGTGCCTCAATTCTCTCATCTCGGCCAGAGGGATTATAATAAAATCTATCTTATGCAGGCGAAATGAGCATTTCAAAGAGCACTGGCATACAACGAGTGCTCACCACTGTTCATGGGTAGTAGCAGGGCTCAAGCTTCTCTTTTCCCC